AAAATGAAATTTAATAAGAATAACTTTTAAAAGAAAACTTAAAGTTAGTCTCATTTTTATTTTCCACCACTGTATTTTCTTTGTTTGTAAAACCCTTTTAGTAAGTATTTTTGTTATAAAAACAAACTTATGGATATTTTTAGTTTTATAAAATACTTCTTTTTTATATTTTAAACATATCAATTTTTTAAAGTATTATTTTACTTTTTTAACATCATCAGTATATTTATTAAAAAAACAATTTTATCTTTAAAATAAAATAAGAGAAAAATGATTTAGAAAAGGTTTTTTAAATTTTTCTATAATTTAAAAACTTTTTATACTAAAAAGTTGATACAAACAAAGCTTTATAAAGTGTTTATTTTTACTCGTTAATAAAATGAAAGTTTTTAAGTAAGAGAATTTTATTTTTTAGGAAATGAAAGTATATTTTAAAATAAACCACTATAATTTTATGTCGTCTGTATACAAGAAAATAATGAGGTTAAACTACATAATTTATTAATTTTTTGATATAAAATCTTTTAAATAGATCATATTGATATGCTATGATATCTTAACTTTTCATTTAAAATTTTTAAAAGCAGAAATTAATATTTAAAAGGTTACATTAAATTCACTATAAATTATATTATTTATTATAAATTCGTTTTCAATTATAAATTTTATAATTTAATTCTTTTATTAAAACATATCCTTTCTACCTTTATATGTTGGTTTATTAAATAAAAAATCTGTCTTTACCATTGTATTTTATTTGCAATTAAAACTCCTTTGAAATTTTTTGTTTTAAACACGTGATGTAATCCATTACATAATATATTGAGGTTTTATTTAACAATAAAAAAAGATAAAAACATTTTAAAAATTAACAATAATTTTTGAGGATATTTATTAAAATTAACCAATTAAATATCCTGCTAATGACGGGTTGAATAAAATAAGTAAAATTTTAGCATATCCATTCATAATTTCATGTAAAACTTCCATTATATAGTCATAGTTAATATCTCGGCCATCTTCATCTCTTTCGTAATTTTCTTTATCAAAAGAGAAAGGAATATAACGATCTTTATATAAAGGAAAAAGGCCATTCATGTAACCACATAAATATCTATTATATCTTTCACTTTCTTTTAAAAGATAATTTGATAATTTTATATTTAGTTGTTGAATTTCTTTTTTTAACGAAACATTATTATTATTATTATTATCAAGATATTTAAAAATACAAGAGTAAATTGTAAAACTAGTCAAACTGTTGTTATAAAAAACATTATATTTTTCAATCAAAATAATTATTTT